TTAAAACAAAACTTACAACAGTCACTTTACTCAACAACTGAAATTTAGAATAGTGTGATTAAGAAAAATATGTGAATTGTTTGGAATTTCAAATTAATATTGAAATGCACAGGTTTAGAATTTTCTACAGTGAAAAGTTTTCGGAACTTCAGTGTTCAAAAAAGTATACAAAAGCTAGACGTTAAGAACATATCCAATGACCGAGCAAAGCAAGCATCGGATTGCAAAGCATTCCGAAATGAACTGCGAAAGCAGTTCCGAGCGAGGTGAGAAAAGAAAAGGAGCGAGGAAAGAAAGCAGTTCCGAGGGTTGGCGAGCACCAGCGAGCAGGGGGCGAAGCCTCCTAGTATGTATATACAGTCTGCGTATATAATCTGCAGCATATATATAATAATATGTTTTTAAACAACTGTTCCAGCATGCTGTTATGAAACAGCATGAAAATAGTATTTTAGGGTATTAAAGTTCACAATTATACTTTAAACTGTAACAATTAACTAAACAGATTGTCAAAAAATACAAAAATACTTACTGACCTCAAATAAAACTCAAAGGACTTCGAATCAAATAATTGAAACTCTACTATTACGTTTAATATAAAAGGAAGATTTATTAACTAAACAATAAAATTACAGCATCGCAGTTCCAAAAAAAAACAAATCTCTTACTCTCTCAAAACACTATTTACATTCTAAACCATCACCATGGCAACCACAAAAACTCTTCTCGTTGCCATCTTCAAACTGATATAGAATAAATAAGTTATTTAACAAAAAATACGATGCGCATAAGCACATAATATTTTACATCCTCCCACCTAAGTTAACAACATTAACAAAGTTAACTTACATAGCTTAGAAATATTTTTTGTAAAAATGACACCTTGCAAGAATTTGAAATAAAATTTAAAGTTCTAAATCACTATGCAGTTCTTATAAATATAGTTTGTAAACCCTTTTTTAACAGCTTGTCCACTCCCTGTAAAATAAATGGCACAGGTAAAAATACATATCCAGCCCTTTGAATTGTCTTTCAAAATCACAGGACCAGCAAAGTCCACAACCGTTACTTGGAAAACAGCTGCATCTTGAGCTCTCTCACTTGGTGGAGATGTAGTTGGTGGGTCTACTGGTTTGGCAGAAAAACGCTTGCATACTTTACAAGATCTTGATAAAGATTTACTTTTCCTCTACCACACAGCAACCAAATTCTTTCTCTAAGAGAATTCAAAGTGTATGATGAAACACCAGCATGTCCCCTTTTCTTATTTTCAGACAGTACTAAACATTTTACTATAGGATGCTCTCTTGGTAAAACAGCAGGTGTTCTAAACTCTTCAAAATCATCTCTCTAATATACAGTTGTTTTTAATCTATAGATTCCTTTCTTATCAATAATTATATCTAGAGTTTTAAGGCTTTTATCTGAAACTCTTGTAAATGATTCCTGTTGTATCAAGTATACAGTGATTTTCTCAGCTTCCTCTAATTCATTTACAGAAAGATCTCCTTTTCTTCTTTCTTCATTTTTGCAATTAAAAAGGAATCTCGTCACCCACGCCATAGTATGTACAATTTTTCGATTATTAGAAATATTAGAACTCAAAAATTTAATCATTTCACAATTTATCACTGAGGTTGTGACACCTTTTCTTTTCTCCCAGTTCACTTCCTCCTCATTAACGACATCTCCAGACGAAGGCCACAATTCTTGAGGTAAGTGTAACCGGCTGCCACCCTCCCTCCATTGCAATCGCAGAAACTGTTGCACCGAACATCCTCTACTTGGTGAATCAGCTGGGTTCATCGTCTCAGGAACATGCCTCCAGATGTTAACATCAGTCTGCTCTCTGATTTCACACACTCGATTATAAACAAAAATTGCCCACGGTTCACTTCTTTTGATCCAGGCCAATTTACTTGCATCACAAAAGAAATATATGGAACACTTCTTGGATCCACTTAATTCAAAATACCTTGGAATATTAATTTTCTCAATGTACAGTACACCTTCAATCCATTTTAAAAATTCTCTTATGATGTTTTCATCAACATCATCATCCCAATTCAGTTTCAACTTACAAATGCTCTGAAGAAGCAATTTTGGGATCAACGTTACAGGACAGATCATACCCAAGGGGTCAAAAAGTCTATGTGCAGCTGACAGGATGGTTCTCTTCGTTACTTTCTCAATGTTAAGCTCTTTAATGCAACCTGTACTCACTTGAAGAGTATCATATTTCTTATCCCAGCTCATACCAAGAACATTTGTAGGTGTCTGAGAATTTTCCTCGGTTAAGTTGGCGTGCTCCCACCCTCTAAGATCGAATTTTCCACTTGCCATTATTTCAGTAGCAACTCTTTCAAACACATTCATTTCTTTTACATCCTTGACACTCGTGACACAATTGTCTCCATAAAAACTTTTCATTAGTTTTTGTACAACATATCCAGGATAAGTAGATTTTTGTTCCCTTATTTCCTTCAAAACATTCATCAGAAGGTATTTGATAGTTGAGGACAGCAAAAATGGGCTACAGGTTTCTCCAAATACTACCCTGCAATGCCTGTAAACCTTCAAGCCTTCATCACTAAGCCACAAAAATCTTAGGTAATTTCTATCAGTTTCAGTAAGTCCGATTTGTAAGACGGCTCTACGTATGTCTGAAATGACTCCAATTCTCTCAGTCCTAAACCACATCAAAATGCTTGGTATCAATTCAATAAGATTTTCACCCTTTTCTAAGCAATCATTTAAACTAGGAAAACCTTTGGCCTTAGCTGAAGCATCAAATACGGGTCTAATTTTGGTGGTGCTATTCGGTTTCATAACTGCACGATGAGGTAGGTAGTGTACATTTTCCTCACAATTATCCTTTACTTCTTCTATTATTCCCTCCTCCATCCATTCATTAAAAACTTGCTCATACTCTTTATAAATCGACTGCGATTTAAGTCGGTTGACAGTCGAATTCAATCTTTTATACGCCAGGTCATAGTTGGTTGGCAATGGAGGATGATCTTCCAGCCAAGGCATGCTAACCACAAAACGGTTTTCTACATCTAGTCTGATTGTTTCCAAAAAGTACTCTTGTGTAGCTCTTTGCAACTCTGCCTGCACTTTCTTCGCAGATGGATCTGTGATTCCCAAAACATCCAATGACCACAATTGATTCATAGATGCTTCAGCTAAAAGCAATGAAAGAGAAGAATTTGTCGTCGCAGCAATATCATTTATAGGTATCTTCCCCATAAGAGTCCACCCTAGATGTGACTCAACAGCAACAGGACCTTCAATCAAACATTTTACATTGCCTGTGAAAAGCTTGCCGGCCACATCAGCTCCAAGTAATAATTTGACGTCATTTGATACTCCTAGAGAACTGTACTCAGTATCATTCACACAAATTCCATATTCATTCAACTCCTTTATCCATGGACCATAGGGGATGCGTTTGACATAATCACAAATCACTGGTTGATCTAAACAAAGTACTTTGCAATTAAATTTGTTATCCATACTCGCTAAAGTAACTTTGTATTGAGAATGATGCTTCTCACCTGATGATACACCGCCAAACAACTTGTGTACTAACTTAATTTCTCCGCATTTCTCTATACCCATATATTTGACTACGTCTCTCGTAATATATGTTCTCTCAGAGCCTGTATCAATAATAGCTCTCACAAGTTTGTCTTTATTTCTATTTCTTATGCGCAGGACTAGAGTCTGTAATAACACTTCGGAATGAAGAGACAGGCTAGTTAAGATATTATCGCCAACGACACTTTCAGTTGCTTTACACTCTGGGTTTTGAGCCTCATTACTGGCGACAAATCCTCTACAAAGTATGTTGTGCTTTTTGCCACAATTAAAGCATGGTTTCCGTCTGCAATTTATTACTCTGTGGCAGAGTTGGCCAAAAATGTAATCGA